AGGGGAAGGTGAACAGCGTGGCTGGTGGTGGAATGGTAGTGGAAGCCGATGGTGGTGAAGCCAGTGGCGGAGGACAGGCACGTTGACGTGGAGGTGACTCAGGGACTGTTTCCAGGGAAGGAGCTGCAAAACCAGAGTGGATGAATGAGGAGATGACCAGGAACTTGAATCTGCTGGGTGGGTCCAGACTGGAGCAGAGAAAACCCAGGTTAGGAAAAATCTTCAGAACACGGAGCAGAAAAACAGAACTGACGAAGCAGGCAAGGTTTGGGGGAATGCAGGCTGGAAACAGGTTGGGGACCAGTGGCAGGAGATGAACTAGCCAGGACGCGGTGTGGAAATCTGTCAGTGCGCGGTGGCTGGGCTGCACTGGCTGGAGAAAACAGGCAGGTGAGCAGAAGATGGGCTGACAGACGGCTGGGACACTGGCGGATGAGACGACAGCCTGACGCAGAGTGAAGGAATGAGCTGGTTTATGAAGGAGCTGTGGTGATTAGACTCTGATGAGTCAATAGATGCAGCTGTCTGTGATTGCACTGACAAGTGCAGAGACAGAGAGAGAGAGAGAGAGAGGAGCTGAGGCTCAAACTAGGGGTCATGACAGCAGCTCTTGAAGCTCTCTTTTATTCCTAAAAGTAAATTCCTACAAAGTTCCTAACTAGCATTTCAGTGGCTGCTTTCAGGTGTGTTTAATTCATCCCTTCATCTCAGAACAACACATCAGTGTTAGTGTGCTGCGCTTCTGCTCTGTGAACAGTGAAGTCATGTGACTGTAGTTCTTCTAGCCAGCGAGCCAACTGTCCCTCAGGTTCTTTAAATGACACTAACCACTGTAGTGCAATGTGGTCTGACCTGACTGTGAAGGGCACCCCACACAGGTAATATTTATCGTGTCTTATTGCCCAAACCACCAGCAGGAGTTCCTGTCTGGTGACACAGTACCTGTGCTCCCTCTTGTTCAACACGTGACTGAAGTAGGCAACGACTTTTTCCCCGTCTGGCCTAACTTGGGACAGCACAGCTCCTATTCCAACACTGCTGGCGTCTGTTATAGAGGACAAAAGGTAGTGCAGGGTCAGCGGGAGAGAGAGGACGGGGGCCTCTGTCAGTGCCTGCTTTATGGTGGAAACAGCCTGCTGGTACTCTTGTGTCCAGTGAAATGTTTTGTCTTTCTGTAGAAGTTGGAAAAGTGGGACTCCAATGAATGAAAAATTCGTCACAAATTTCCTGTAGTATGAGGCTAGCCCTAAAAAAAACCTCTTCAGCTGTGTCTAGTTAGATGGGAGGGGAGGGCCAGTATTTTATTGCCTCAGTTTTTTCACTCAGTGTGCTGATCCCCTCCACACCCAGCTTATCACCCAGGAACTCCACCTCTTTCTTCATGAAATTACATTTATCTGGGTGTGATGTTAGGCCAGCCTCTGCTATTTTGGTCAACAATTTTCTCGGGCTGGACCCGAATATCTGAATATTCGATCGCTGTGGTGGTATCGGGATAGCAATTTTGATATCCCAATATTTGCTTGCAAATAGGGCAAATATGTCTTTGAAATCCAGCAGTCTGCCAAAACTCCTCCTGCTGGTGTTAGTTTAGTCCATCACAGTTTTTGACCCAGATGTCTTTTACGACGGACAGCATCTTGGACTCCCCTGATGTTTCTTGTCCTGTTTTGTGGTCTGTGGGTGGTGGCTGTAGCAGGAGAGGGCTTTGTGTGGGGTCGCTATCATCCACTGTGTTTGCTGACTGCACCTGTGGGACCACAGCTGACGTAGGAGGGGTAAAGGTGTACACAGTGTCCTCCTGGCAGTGTCAGAAGCCCTCTACCCAGGTCCAATACACATTTAATCACCTTCAGAAAATCCAGCCCCAGTATACAAGCATCTTGCACTCAGGCCAGCCATGCAGTAAACAAAACAGTCAGGTCGTCCACTTTGAACTGGAGGCTAATTGTTCTCAGCTATACAGATGTTGGCTCCACCCGTACTCCTGCTAGAATTATGTCAGATCTGCACTAATGCAGTGGTTATACAACTTTCTGAACTCAATGTTATGCTATATGTTGGGATTTTATTTCTCCAGTTATCTAAGAGGTGCAGCAAGAGCCAATAGTCTTGACTAAATACTTTGATGGAATGGCAGTTTAAAATGTTAACAAAGTTATCAGGATCATACTGTAGTACAGTCTTCACCCGTAACATGTTTTCTTTTTTTTTTTGCACTGAAGTTGTAGTTTTCTCATGCAACAGACACACTCTGTAATTTGTAATCACTCTAAAACCTTCACAAATGCTTTCTGACATGAAAGTACATATTGAGCAGGGTTACAGTGTGGGCTATGTTCCCTCTTTTCAACAAAATAATTAGCATTTTCCTGTACATGTCACCACCTCTACCACCTCTTTCCAAACCTTGACCCTGGACAGATGGCCCTCCTTTTTAATACCAACTGTTGCCTCAGTAACATTTTTTTTTTTTTTTTTTTTTACATTTAGGCAGCAATATGCACTGAGAAGACTTGCCAGGACACTGTTTCTACTCCTGTGAGAGAGAGACTGAAACACAGAATGACAAAACACACTGAACAGTACTTTAACTGCAACAATAACTTATTGACAATATGTACAGAATGTATGCAGGACGGCAAACAGGTCAGGGAGAAGTGACATGATTAAGAGGGCGGAAAGGGACTGACTGCTCCCAAGGGAGACGACTACTGGTGAGAGATTGAATTACAAGTGGACAGAATATGATTAATTACTGATGATATTCAGTGTCTGGCACAGATGAGGTAAAGGTAATTACATGAAGGTATAGTGATGTTTGTGCACCTGTCAGACTATAAACCTGTTGATGTTTGAGGAGAAACAGCAGGTATGTATGTAGGATGAAGGTTAATCTATTTTAGTAATGTTAATATTAATACTTTAAATCCCATCCATCCCTGTTTTTGCCGTAACTGACTTGACTGCAAGAGGGAGAGGAGAGAGGACACCTTAACTCCAATAATGTTATTTCTGTAAGTAGTACTAATGGCTTATTTTAACTATTTATTTTTCTGCTGGAACAAGGCAAATTTTCCCACTGTGGGATTAACAAAGGCTTAGCTCATCTTACCTTGATAAGATAAATCACATGATAAAATACAAACCATTTAGAAGGTGGTAACATGTCTGTGCAGGGCTCAGTTGATCTAGTAGTCTGTTTTCTGTTATTGGTTTATGAAATATGCAAACTAATGACACTTTTTAATTGACAAGGTTATGGGAATAACATTTCTATTAGTAATATGACAGATCTGCATAACTTAAGAGTTGTAGTGACTGAGTTTTCTTTGGAGATGTCACCGTCAGTCGGTTAGGATGCCTGGGATCTTTCTACGTGGAGTTTGCATGTTCACCCTGTGCAGCGTGGGTTTTCTCCAAGTTCTAGGTGTGAATGTGAGTGTGCCTGGTTGTGTGTCGCTCTATGAAGCCCTGTGATAGACTGGTTACCTGTCCAGGGTGTCCCCTGCCTTCACCTTGAGCCAGCTGGGATAGACTCCAGTGACCCTAGTGAGGATTAAGCAGTGTAAAGATAATAGATGGATGGATGGATGGAATATGGCAAGATGTTCTTCAGCAATGCTGCTAAGACAAATCTTCAGTGAAGTGTGCACAGTACTTTGGGGTTCTGCAAATACTAATTGGTAAAGTTTTTGCCACAGTCATGATATATTCAAATGAGTTAAAGCTGTACCACTACCTTCTTTGCAGACTCAAAAACAAAAAAAAACAGTAAAATTTGGGGGAGCTGTTTCAATCAGAACTCCTAAAGTGCTGCTGTTGTCCAAGCACATTTCTGTTCAAAGCACAAGTTGGTGTAAGGTGATGAAATCCTGATTTGACTTGAGTTGTAATTTCATTTTCTCTGTTATTTCTTTAAGTATTATTTTTACCTTTTATTTCTATTTTTTTTTAACCCTAGGGTTAGGTATCTTTTGTATTTAATGACTCTGATTTTGCTTATCTATCTACCGACCTACCTTTCTTTCAGGGTCTTAATGATTCTCAATTACAGGCGGTTAGCAAAATTCTGCTTTCAATACAAAAAAAAACAAAACAATAATAATTCAATACTATATATTGTATTATAGTATAACCAGAGGAGACAATTTTCTGCAGTGAGTTTTTTTTAAAACTTTTACTACCATAGTACATTTTCCTGATTGTACTGATACAACTTTTACGTTAAGTATCATTTTCAGTGTATGACTGGTATCAAGTAAAGTATCAGGTAAAGAATCTGAGTATTTTCTTAATCACTGCCCATCTCTGACTATTGACAAAAGCAAACAGAGTTATTGCTAGTATATGATACACCATATTTCTAAAATAGCCTGCTCTCTGAGTAATGAAGCTTTAACCAAAAACACATCTACAGTTGTATTTGCTAAACCAATCGTTTGCGGACAAGTTTTTTTTTTTTTTTTTTTTTCCTTTGTCAGGTTACTGGCATTTAGTTTCAGGTCATGTGACTGGGATGCATTTGCCCATTAACCCCAAAGGGGAAAAAGAAGCCACTCCCCCAGACATCCCATCCTGACCCTCGTAGGACAGCCTAGCCTCAATGGCTATTCCACGCAGCTACCAGGACACAGCATTTCACTGTTCAAATGGGACATTTTTTATCCATGTAGGACACTTGTGTGAGGGTTCGACCGCAAAATGGTAAAAAGCTACACGGCAAAAAGTTTCCCAAAGGGACAACCTTTAGAAACACTGTGTACAAGAACCTCAAGGTAGAATGTACATTCTACAGCCATGCTACTTACTGTACGGCCTGTAGCACAGGGAACAAAGTGTGACATATTTATAGCTTTGCTGTTATTCACTCACATCGTCATCCCAAGCAGCTGCTAGTGTGGTTTAAAAGAACATTCATCAAGAACATCGTGTTGGCTCACATGTTAAAATGGTGCCATAAAAAAAACCCAAAACAAAACAAAAAAAACACAAACATATGGGACTTTTGCTACTGTTATATATTTGAAAGCCTGCAGTAATAAAGCAGAATATAGACAGGTGCTGGTGAGAGGGCTATGATAGTGAAGCAGAAGATTTTGTGAAATGAAACACAATGCAGTGCTTGAATGCAATAAAATGAACTCTGAAAAGATACACTGACAAGAACTGTAGAAATGCAGCATTCCTCCCAGCCTGTTTTAGTTTGATACATTATATACAAGTCATATGACTGCATATTTTATCAGAATTAAATGCTGCAGGGCAGAAGACATAACGTGGTGCAACAGTCCAGCAGCAGTCAACATACAGAATGTTTATGGTGTTTTAATTAGATTTGAAAAAACCTAAACTAACAACGGTCTGTACATCTGCTGTGTACATTTATCCATGTGAGAAACAGGATACGGTCTGTGTACAAGACAAACGGATCAGTCATAAATGAAACCTAGTGCATATGAATACATTTCGATCTGTGGTGATCTGGGGCCAGCAAATGCAAATGCAGAGGTCAAGGAAAATTCTGGGATAAGCATTCACTGATGATGAAAGTCTTAGTTTAGAAGAAGCAGAAATCCAAATTGAGACATATTTCACAGTTTCTCCTGTTGTGGAAGAAAAGCCATCTATTCAAATCGTCTTTCATGTCTAAAATAGTAGTTTTGCACAGAACTGACTACTTGCCAAGTCACTTCCTTAGCTGTGCGATGTATTGAGGCCTTTTACAAAAATAAACCTGATGTTTAACACAGTCAGTGATTCTTAAAAGCTATTCTCGGAGCAAGTCATGTCAGGTAGATAGCTATAAAATTACAGACATCATATCACATAGACTGTTAGAGCACAGTAAATATGAAAAATCAACACAAAAGTACAATTTACAATGCAGTCATAACCTTACTGCAATGTGCCGGAGTTAGCAAGAAAGTCTAGTTGTAACATCAAATGAACAGAAAAGGCACATCACATTTCATTTCAAGCTGACATTTAAACCAGACATCCTTTAGAAAAGCATATTCATTGGAATTACATGAAAACATGGTTTTACGTGGTACACACCTATGTACCGAAACCACTTTTTAACTGACGATTCAGCATGCAACTTCTTTCCTTTGGATGGTCTACAACAACCTCAGGGAATTTCTCTCTTGATGTCGCCACTTGATGTCAAAGAAGACGCCCTCCTATATTTACAGCAACTGTGTTAAAGGCAACCGTGCTTTTCTTCAAGGACACCAATGTTTCAGTAAGTCAGCTTGGGGATCAACTTGGCATTGGGCGTGTTCTACATATATGTGTGTAGAACACTTCATGTACATGGACAGCACATGTCAATTAATCTTATCCTGGTAAGAAAAGGTCAGCCAGAGATGGCACCGAAGTACTAGACTATGGATTAAAGTCAACTACAAATATCTTTATATCATTGCTTCACAATGCTAAACTGACCACAGAGCAAAAACTGCCAAACACATTTACTCTTTAACATCTAAGTTCAGTACAGGAGAATTTCTATGGTTGTGTTTAGTTTAGAAACTTTGATGCCTTGTGTTTTGTTGTTGCTAACACAATGTGTTCTTCAAGAAGTCTGTGTTCACTCTGTCTTTGCCCCAGATCAGACGAACACTAGGAGGTTGTCAGGATTCTGCAGAAATAAGGAGCAAGTGTTGATCCAGCACCGAATCTTGCACATCAGTAACAGTTTAATTGTCGGTCTTGGTTTGCCTTATATTTCCATTTGTGACTTTTCATGTTTGTGTCTAGAAGAGGACTGTATGCTGAGAAAGAAACAAATAAAAACAAAAGGCTTTGGTCCATGCATGATCTATCTTGGCAGTTAAGATTCCAGAGCACATGTGGTGGCTGCTCATGTTCTAGTAGTCTGGGGTTTGGAGACTTTGTTGGCTTCTATCCGTTCTCCTTCCAGAGTACTAAGTGAATGCTATGGTCGGGCATGCTGGTGGCAAACACTAGTCCAGAGTCATTGTCCCCATCCAGGCCGTTGAGCCAAGCGGTCACACCGGCCAGGAAGCTGGATCCTCGTTTGGATTTTCTGTAGGCTGGTAGGGGCCAACGGCCTGAGATAGCCTCTGTCCTCAGGTCCATCACATACAGAAAGTTGTTGTCGAAAAGGAGTGCAAACACCTCACCAAAGCTGAGCAGGGATAGGTTGGCTGGGTCCTGCATTTTTATCACCCTGAAAACAGTAAAACAGGCAGGATTCAGAGTACCACTAACAGCATGATCATACAATTCTGTCGTCCAAATCCATGATTTCAATCAATAAGTTACATGTCAGTCTGTACAACCTGTTGTTTTCTCATTAAAATTTACTCCTCTTGGTTTGTTTGTAAAAAAGTTAACATTACCAAGAATTAGTGAAACTAAAATGCAACATTATGCATTATTACAGCAGAAGTGCTGAGCCATGCCACTGTTTGCCATTTTAGCTCATGGTATATCTTACACTATAAGGGCATGTTATAACAAGATTTTTTGACAAAAAGAGTTTGATTGTCATTGAAGGGGGTCTTTTCAAATCCAACACAGATTTAGAAAATGTTTGTATCGTGTGCAGTTTTACTTGTTTTTCTGGTTTATGGCTAAACCTCTTACTTTTTACGAAGTATTTGGTCATTTTACCTGAGAATCTCAAAACTGGCAAAGTCCCACTGATAAACTCCAAGGTCAGAGCTGCAGACAATATAGCGTCCATCAAACTGCAGGCGAGGCTGAAGGCTGATGCTGCGGTCCTCTGACACTGACAGTGTCTTCAAACATTTACAGTTGATTTCTCGGCCTAGTGGCCAGACCTGCAGAGGGGGCACATTATTTGCTCCATCAAATGGACACTTCAGGTATAGCACTCACATGTGATACACTACCTTCAATAGTGATGAAGCTGAAGTGGAGCCTTACCTTAATTTCATACTTATCAGCACTTAGGAGTATGTAATCACCAGGACTATGCACCACTGATTCTACTTCACTCTTCTGTAGTATCACCTGATGAAAGACACAAAGTACAATATAAGATTTCCAAGAATTGCCTGATATGCTCCTATAATCTCCATGACATAAGAACACAAGAAGTTTGTCAGTAGGGATGTTAACAGATTTAACAGAAGAAGACTCATAGATTAACCACAGAGTAAATAAGTCAGAGGGTCTCAGAGGGACAGACAAAAACAATCATTTTACTGGCGAGGCAAATTGAGCTGACCTTGGTGACCCATTCTGTGTGTCCGGTCAGAGTGTTGAGACAGGCACCAGCAGACAAAGCCCAGACCTTCACAGAGAAGTCTGCAGAACCACTGACCAGTATATCCAACTCATCATTGTAGTCCACACTGAAGACTGAGCAGACAGATACACACACATGATATATTCATACACACACGGTGTCTCACATTGGGAAATGGCTGTCTGTAAATACGAAACAATCACATATTTAGAAATTGACATATTGTTAATAAGTACAGCATTTCCCTCAGTTATTTTTTGAGGGGGTGAATATAACAAAGCGGGAATTTTGTACTAAAGATGGCCAAGAATCTCCTCGTATATTCTGTCCTCATAACAAACAGTTGTTTCAGAGGCGCCACTTGTTTTCCGGGCACATGTATAGTCAGCATGCTTGTAGTGCAGACCGTCTGCACAAGGATGATCCATGTGGACCCTGGTGGACTTGGTTGGATGACAAAACGCATCACATGCACCCTTGTAGATGCAGACCTGTAGTATAAAGCATTATTTGCTCTTGAGTCACCTGGGACAGGTTCCAGTCCCCCTACGACATGTGTGATCATTTTAAGTATTAAATGATTTTCTTTTTGTTTTCTCTTTGAAGTAAGTTTGAGGAACCTGTTTCATTGCTTGTGTTTCTTGCCTTCACTTTTTTACAATGCCACTGTGTTCCCATATCTCAGGAATCCACTTGCTGACACAACTGTGTTATAACCAACAGAAATAATGGTGAAAACTACAAAAATAAAACCTGATAATGTTGCTTTTCTTTAGCACACTTGATTGTTTTTATACTACTGTCTAAACATGTGGCTACTTCAGTTGTTTACGGTTGTATATTTAAATGATCTTGGCTTCTCTGTGAAACACACTGCCTCTTCTTTGGAATGAAATGTGTTGCAAAATGAAGGTTCTCCTATAATTTTAAATAACCCGGGACAGATATCTACTTCACATTAATCCAACCTGCTCCTGTGTGGCCCCGGAACTGCTGGATTTTAGCTCCTGTGCTCCACTCCCAGCATGCAATGGTGTTGTCGAAAGATCCAGTCACCAGCTTTTGTTCATCAAATTTTACCGTGGCGCAGGTGTGTGTCTGAATTCCATAAATGCACTGTCCAGTGCGCACATCCCATAACTTAGCAGAGAGGTCATCAGATCCTGAAAAACAAGAGGACATCCATGCTTATATACAATACTCTACATGGATTAATACAGTGGCATGGGTCAAACACACACTCTGTGGATGGTGCATCACAAACAAATATTATATATTCATTAGATGGAAAGTGAAATATTTAAGTCATTTCTTGTTTCAGTTTTAAAAATCCTACCCCATAGCTCATGAAAATCAGAAATCCAGTCCCTCAAATTATCTGAAAATGTATTATCTAGTTTGAGTAAATTATTATCTAAACGGCATAAATACCACGTATTACTTGATCTAGTTCAGTGCAACCACAATCATGGGAAGACCACAGACTTGAAAGAAGAGTAAATTTCCTTTTCCAGCAAGACTTTGCAAAAAATTAATATTTCACTTCACGTTTGATGAGTCTAGAATTCTCGCAAGGGGAAATTCTCTTTCGTACATATCCCATAAGGTAAGGGAGCACCCAGCCACACCAAGGTATCCTTGTGGGCCTTGTTCAGGGACCCAGTAGGGTATCTTGGTGGTGCTGGGACTTGAATCCCTGACCTTTCGATCAGTAGCCCAAAGCCTTAATCACTGAGCCACTATGGACAATATATGCCAACGCTCCAGGTGGCCATCAAAAAGCCCAATACTCTGGGAGTATCAGAAGATTGTGGCTTTAAGAACTTGGCTTATTTGGGTCATATTAGAGCCAATAGTAAAACCTAAACCTAAATATAGCTGAAGGAGCACAAGGTTACTATTTCCCAGAAACTGGCTCGTTTCATTTTTGCTCTGGTGTTAATAGGTTCTTGTTCTTCAGTCAGACAGTATGGACATAAATAAATTCTTATCAGTCTGTAGCAGAAGTTGTGATTTCAGTAGAAAAAAAAAAACATGTTGACAAATGAAGATAATGTGCCTAAATTTTACTTGATAAAATTAACACAAAGCTTTCTTTTCTTTCAGGTGGGGCTGACGAACTCAACCCTCACTGAGTTGGCGCATTGTTGCTGCACACGTGTGGCTGGATCAGTGTTGTGTAACCACTGCATTGCTCTCAGTTAGCACATTACTCACAGCTTAATATGTCAGTAGCTCCCCCCTGCTCAGCAGTACAGAGGGAAAGCAATAATGCCATAAACCAAAAACTTGGGCAAGTCTGACAGTAACATAATTAGAATTCAAATACAACAGCTACACATCCATCAGGTTACATACACTCATCATGTTGACATCTTGCTTAAAATTCACAGTCTGGTCGAGAAAATGGCTGTGATGTTTGTATAATGGCAGAGGAAGTAAGGTGAGAAATATGGAATTATGTGAAGTAAGCTATGTACACAGAACAGCTTCTGTGTTGATGTCTATAAATCTGCATTGAATGGCACCACAGGCATCAGACGTCACTGTTAAATTGTTGGACATGGCTGTCTCAAAAGTGGCAGAGACCTACAAGTACTTCCCCCCCGTTTCTGCAACATGGGTGTGACCGCAAGGAACCACCAGGAGACTCTGCTCTTGCTAAAGTTCAAGCTGGCATAATAACAACCCATAAAAGCATGACATTTAACGTAAATAAATAAAACATGTCTTTTTTTTTAAACACTATGAGTGAGACAAGCCTTCCTTTTTAAACAGTCCAAAATCACGACAATTCTCTCATCATAAAAGAATGATCTAATAATTTATGTTGAACATAATCTATAGCGACAATCTTAACCACACCTATTAAAAATGTTGTTCTCTGTTTTTTGTAATAATTTATATCATGATTTTGTTCATCAACTCACCTTTACCTGAACCATTTGTTTGCCAATATAGAGGCTAAATTCTATAGAGAAAGTGTACTGCTGCATGGAAGTGTGAATACATATGCTGATTGTGTTTTGTAATAAATATTGGACAGTGTTTATGAATTATTCAGTTGTTTTGACAAGGCCAAATAAAGACTCAGCTTTGGTAAGAACGTACCAATACACACCATCAGCAAAATGTTGTTACAGGCACACGGGTTACAGGTACACGAAAACCTAATGATCCAGATCTGGGTTTGAGTCTGTTACAGGTATGAACACGGCTTTAATAATCTGTTTCTTATTACTCTGAAAAACTGAAGAAACAGCAGACATATTTTCTGAACATATATCAACAAATATCGCAGATACCTACACATATAGGTAGAGGAAAAAAAAGAGGTATTGTCTCTTTATCACTCGGATCATGTTGCTGTATCTGAATATGCATTAAATCCTCTCCACACTCCCTGTAACTAGTAAGTGACCCTGTATGCATGCTGCTGCTAAAACTTCAGTTTGCACTTTTAGGTGTGGATCGTCAACATAGCTTTTCCTGTTGGGACACTGAATTTCAACAAGGCCGAATAAGGGATTCCCTGATTGGTCAAAAACAACCCCATTTGGAGAAAAGCCAAGCCATGGAGCATCGGTGGGGATTACAAACTTGCTAGGACATTAGGTGACCCCCTTGATCTCCTTGCTCCTGAATAGCATCCGTTCCATTTCTAAGTCCCTTTTCTAGCTGCTGTCTGACTGGTTCCTTAGGAAATTCTTCAGCCGGCTTTTGTGTAGAGATCTGTTTAGAATGACATATTTCTCCAAAGTGTAAGGAGCTAAGTTTAGGTCTCGTTCGTCGATGCCAATCTGGTGTTAAACTTTGCATATTTGCACCCTCAAATTCCTGAGCCACACCCTAAGAGACTGAAAGGGCAGCTATTGATATTTAATACAAACAAGCACACATACAGATGGTTGCAGCCTGTAGCCAGCCACAGGGGTCGTAGTGAAACTAAATCAAACAAGTCAGTATTTGGGAAATAGTTATCTTTAGTCATATCAAGGATTAGGTTTTACTATTACCTCTAACATGTCCAAAAACAGCCCCCATGAAAATCATTAATCAGAAAGTTTCAAGTCTTAAAGCTGCCATCTTTATCCTACACCCTCACCGTAGGGCTTGTCTGACTTCCTCATGGAGGCACTGACATAATTCCCATACACACATTTAACACCTAAGTCTTTCTTGGACACTGAAGGAAAAAAAAAAACTAAGTCGGGTCATTAAAAATGCAAATGCTGAACACCATCTTACTGTCAATGCAGTCAAACTCAATGAAGAAAAATGACAACTTAACAGATATCAATCAAGCCTATAGGCAGAATTACTTACCTTTGTTTATGTAGACATACACTGTGATGTACACTATGTAATTGCATCCACAATTCTATGCAGGTAGTTGAAATGGTAAACCTCGTAGGCATTTCATTTTTAATATGCCACTGTTGATAGTACACAGCAACAAAAATGGTGGTGATGAGTGCTGTAGCAGGAACTGGAAGTCAGGAGACCACATTTATAAAAAAAAGCCCAATCAGTGCTGTCTGAGATAACCACACCCCATCATTTGAATATAAAAGATGGAAACAGAAAACAAAATATGGGATGAAAAAATAAAAGTTCCGTGGAAAAAAAAGTGGCAGAAAAAAGGTCCCTTGAAATACTTTGAAAAGGATCATTTCTATATAAATATCTACGTAATTAATCATTAAGCTGGATTTAACGTGTTTTATATTTACATTGACTCATACGTTTGTTGTCTCGTGTACTAATCTATTTAATATTCATTTAGTATTGACTGCATTTCATTCCATAAGCCAGGGCTTTTCTGCCTCAGTATGGACAAACACACTTTGCGAGAGTTTTTAGCCTCATTTTTCCAGCTCCTGCTTTAATTTTCCTGTTTAATAAGACACCAGTTAAGTGTCATGAAATGCAACACAGCAGCTCTATATGTGGATGAAGCTGATCATGTTTTGTATTTTTTTTTGCCAAAGCTGACATAGTGGGGTTGATTCAAATCTATGGTCATGGTTTCCAGGACAGACTGGAGGATTTTCAGCCTCTGGATGCAACATGAGAGAGATTCTAAGCTGACCTTTTCCACACTGAAAATACATCAAAGTCACAACGTACCTGTGCAGAGGAGTCCATCCTTATAGTAGAGAGCATATACTCGAGCACTGTGGCCGATGAGTGACGATGTCTCAAAGGCCTCCTGATCCTTTAGCTGCATCATACGCAGTTTAGCCTTCAGGTAGACCCCCTTCCAGTGCGATGCATCCTGAATGGACTCATCAATCCTCCATCCAAGCTTCCGGCACACACCCTGCCACACTTCTGTACATGAATTTATCACCTAAAAGGAGATTGATGCTTTTAGAAAGGTTTGACACTTAAATATTAAATTGAATTGAAGCTTTTAGCTGTGAGGCGACAGTGCTTACTTCTGCTCTGTGTACATAATATCGGTTCTCAAACTGTATGAAATATAGACATTTTCTTTTGACATATGGAAATATTTGTAGACACAAATAATTACTGACTGAATGAAAAATGTTATCTGTTGAACCACATAAACACTACTTTTATGAAACAATGCAAAGAAACTAACAAGCACTGTATACCAGTACATGTCATTAATTCGTCTAATTCCCAACACATTTACATATGTATATGTGCCCTGCCTCTCCCAGTCAGCTGGCATAGGATCCAGCCCCCCACTCATCACTCTCATCATGTTAATCATTAATCTGGGTAAACATTTCAATGTAATTGTTAAACATGTCCCTCCTCATTTCTGCTTGAAAGAGTGAAGATCAAGAAACAGGGATGCTTCCCCAAGGAATGGGTCGTCTACCTTTTGTTTGAGTCTTTTACTGGACCAGTGTGCCTACTTTATAGAACTCTTTTAGTGTATGGATTAGGGCTGGACCAAATAGCCGAATAGTCGACTATTTGTTCACTGTGCTGGAATCAGAATATCAAATTTGATCTCCAAATAATATGCATATATCTCATTATTTGTAATATCTGTCTTAAATCTTATTTAGTACTACATTATACTATATTTAGTACATTCCAGCTTGCTGTCTTTCAGTAACAAACAAGTTTTAATCATTCATCTATGTCAGTTCCTTTCTGTTGTACAGGCTCGTGTAAATCAGCTAACATATACCTGGTTCCAACCATTCAGATTTTTAGCTATAACTCACTTCATTTACACTCGCATGCTTAGATTACTAACTTATTTCTACACATTACAGGACATAACAATCCTTATCTAGTTTAGTAAATGACAAATTTAAGCAAGTTTATCAGTTAAGTGAACACATAGGGCCCCTTACAAGTGGTGCAGTTTGACTCATTTGTAAAGTCTGAATACAGCTTTTTCTCATGCAAAGGAATAATGTGGAGTATAGGACATTAGGGGTTGATCAAGCTTTGCCACTTCTATCAGAAACTGAGAGAAATACATCAAGTTTCACTACAAAAATGTTACTTTATATTTCTCTCCTCATTTCATGCAATTATGTTTGATAAGACAAGCACATGAGACACCATTATTACACTGACAGAAGCACAATATTTACCTTATTCCATTGTTTGCAGACGAGGCAGCAGGTGAGCAGGGTTTGAGGATCGAGCCAGCGCAGCAGGTAGAAGGTCAACTCCAGAGGAAGGAGGCGCAGGAAGTCACGTTTGAGCAGCGTCTCTAGTCCATTCGACAGATGACGAAGCTGGACAGCACCACTCAAAGATATTAGGTGGTCCAGGGACTGGTTACGCTGCTGGTCGTTTAGAGTAAGGAAAGTGGCAGAGACTGACTCCAGCCACCCCTCAAAGGCCGCCTTCTCCATGGGCACATGAGAGCAACTTGTAGCACCTGCAAGAGCAATGCAGGGTCAAACGTCAACACTTTATCTACATACATGATCGAAATTAACATCTTGAGCAACTACAGATGAGGAATCTGATAAATGAATGAAAATTCAGTATTTAGTAAACTCACCTATCAAGTCAAAGAGCCAAACATTTGCTGTGAAAAGATTCCAAATGTTAGCATGTTAGCTTAGTTTTATGTTCCTGCAAAACCAGTCAAAACAACAATTCCTGGTATTTTTCTCATGTGTGACCAAGCAAATAGATTACATTGATCCATTTGTAGTAGCTTCATTCGCAGTAAACGGTACCAAAAATACTATTCAAAATACTGTAGTAGATAATGGATAATACAAAGACTCATGGTTTTGGTGAACTGACATAAACAGCTATGATAAACTGCTGTCAATCTCAAAAGGTTAAACACAAACCATGAGAAATAAAACTCAAAGTACATCATTGAACAAATGGTATAGTTATGAAAAGGCATTATTACCCAGCTGACAAGCAATTAAACTATGGCCACAGATGTGCAATTGTACACATTTAAATGAAAACCAAAACAGATGAGGGCTTTACGTCAGGCTTTAGGCAGCGCACCTAGCTTTGGCTGAGCTAAATAATAAAAATAAAAATAAACCCCACAACAACACTGGCCTGGTAGGCAGCCTGTGTGTATATGGGGTACACGTTTCATTCATTAAAAATAAAAACGTAGAGGTTACTCTTACTGGAAGCATCTGCCTGTGCATTCTTTCGAAGTCAGCCTGGCTAGTTAGCAACTTCTGTAGCTAAGGTTAGCTAAATAACACTTCTACAATTTATTACCAAGTTAGCTGCGAGTGAAGAACAATTAACGGCATATATTAGCAAATGAAAGGGCATTTAAAATGTAAACTTAAAATGTCCACTGACCGGAGAGTTGCACGGACTTTAGTTATCACCACTTTGCTGGCTTAGTTAGTTCACATAGCGAAGTTAGCTGTCGTAGCTAACCTGCCAGCAAACAAGTTGAAAGGATGTCCAAGTAACCTAGCTCCGTAGCTAAGGTTAGATAACCACCGTGATCAGCGCGCCTAATTCTATTACTCTTGAATTACATGTTTCTAATGGAGTACTCGTCTTTACATTTCCCTAGCAGGGATATTTTAGGTCGAAGAAAAGAAGGATATGAGCTTCTGACAGCATGAAAACCAGAAGATAATGGAAACGCTCCCTGTTTGGTTGGTTCGCCTCCCTCAGTTTAGGCTTACAGGAGGCGCCGTTACAATATTTGCTAACGCTTCCCCAAAAACCACGAAAAATAAGTTAAGTAAATACAATATTGCTCACGTATTTATCTCTTACTGAGACACAGGGACTTTATTTTTGCTGTCTACGTGCACTGACACTTTTCTTTTCTGAGGAGCTAACTTGCCTGTACGTCAAAACTGAGGGAATGAAAAAACACCTTAAAAAAAACAGGTGAACAAGCTTCCGGTGTCGCGCCGGATGTGGAACGGTGTGAAATATGTGACCGGGGTTGGCTTTCCCATGTCTGGCTCTCGGTGGTTCCGTTTGTTGGGTCTGTGCAGCATATGCAACACGCAAATAGTGGGGATTTATTTAGAATAGCGGAACCAAAGCATTAAAAAAAAAAAAAAATGCCAGAGAAGCAGGGTTCCTTCTGAAGGCAGTAGCGTATGGCCAATTACGCGAGATAAATGTGTATTTAAAAAAACAACAACAAAAAAACAGTCTATCCCCTTATTTAATTTGACATATTGCACGTCCTTGATTTCTTTCCTCGCGTCCTTCCCACTAGAGATTCGAGCGGAGGAGGCTTATATTCGTGAAATGAGACGAACCTTATGTACAGTAGCCTGTTTAGTTGTGGTGCACAATAATCTCCACCAGAGGGCGCACACACTACGAGTTTGATCATGTTTGCTTGGAGTGGTTTTGGATGCCTGACGCTTTTAGGTTTGACATTATGACAAATTCATAAACAGAAATTTATAACATTATTTATGAATCAATTAATTAATATTGTATTCAATTTTTTCTCAAAGCAACAACAACATTTTTTTGTTGTTATGTTATTACTATTAATACTTAGTCTTACTTTTTGTTTTCCAATCGGCACAAAAGACTAGACGAGAAAGAGTCATAGGACCCAGCTTGTCTCACCCCAAAGCATAAGGAAGGGAGAGAAAGGCAGGGGTTAAAGAGAACATTACTCAGACAGCCCAGAATTATTCAGAAAAAGCTGATGGCAATTGTAAAGATAAGATAAGGTGAATGTTTTTTATCCCTCACTGTGGACATTAGATACAAATGAAGCACAGTAAGAGACAAGGCAAGAAATACAAAAGCACAATGAGGACATCAATAAAGCTATAATTAAGATTATGTACACCCTTCACGTGTGCAGAAATGGCATGATGAATATACATATTAATATGTACAGATATGGCATAATGTCTATACATTTTAATATATATAGAGACATTGCATGATGGATATTGATATTGATTTGTACAGACATGTCATGATGGATAATTTACCCAACTGTAGGACTCACACAGTGTGTAGAATCGTACCTACATTTATACAGAGTAGCAAGTAACAGTGCTACATTACTGCTTTTGTAAATTGAGAGAGAGAAAAGACCACTGTTATGCTGTTACACTGGAATGGATGTAAAGAGAAATTGTGTTTTATTATGTCATTGCACTCGAAAAGCTATAGAGAACTGTCCATGATGGATGTCAGCTTTACTAACAGACTTCCCTCACCGACCTCTTAGATGGAGTCCAGATGGCAGTGCAGTACAGAGCTGGTCCTCATGATCAGTTTGTTCAGCCCTTGCCTATCCTTATCTGTGCTTCCACATCTCCAGCAGCCAACTGCTTAGAAGACTGCAGATGCAACTACAGTGTCATAGAAGGACAAATAAAAAAAGGTGGCCCTAAATAATTGTGACAAAGTCTCACAAAAACATCCATCAAATAGCTACATGTGCTTTATAGGACAGCTAGAATAACTAAAGTACATATTTATTGTCTATGTATTATCTCTGCCAGAAGAACAAACAAACCTGAGAGGGATGAACAATCATACATCACTAATTCACCACACCAGACCACGCTTTATCACAGCAGGTTCTACATAAACCCGGACCTCACTCAATAGAATGCCTGAGACAGCCGAGATCACTGGTGTGCCCAACTAAATTTATTTTAAAAAAAAGAAATTAAACACAACTTAGTGCCTTTGAGAGAGAAACGGTGCCCTGGGATCTAAGCCATGAGTGACCATCAAGCATTGGTGGCAGTTTTATTCCTCATTTACTCCATCTACTACTCCTCTCCAAATCCCTGACCATCCTTGTATCCTCTTTGTATCGTCTTCACCCTCTGCTCTCTCTGGCCCTGATCCATCCCTGGACATGTACTTGGAGCCTGTACTGCACAGCTGACTGAGGTCCTTACTGACATTTTCAACCTGTCACTGGCCGAAGCATTTTTCCCCATGTGCTTTAAAACCACCTCCATCATGATGGTGCCAGAACACTCCACAGCTACAAGCTACAATGACTATCGCTGGGTTGCACTCACCACCATTGTTATGAAGTGCTTTGAGAGGCTGATCTTGGCTCACCTCAAAACCTATCTGCCTCCCACACTGGATCCCTTTCAATTCACCTACTGCCAGAACAGAAGTACAGAGAACACTATCTCCACAGCACTTCCCTTCTCCCTCTCCCACCTGCACAACAACAACACCCGTGGTTCCAACACTATTACCAAGTTTGCAGACGACACAATGGTGGTAGCTGGCTGCAGGGTGCATCACCAACAACCTGGCCCTCAATCCTAACAAGACCAACGAGCTGTTTGTGGATTGTAGGAAGATGAACGGCTGCACACAATCCAATCCACATTAATGTAAAGGAGTGTGCACCAGCTTGCAGGGATATGTTAGGTTTGAAGCAAAGCTCAAACAAGCACAGTGACCAGGTTTTATGTTTCTTACTCTACTATTAATTCTAAGAATGAATTTGTTTCCTCTTTTAACTATTTGACTTGGGCATCAATTCAGTCTCCAATGATTTAGTTGCTATTTCAGTAGAGGAACAGAGTAGAGATATCCTGCCTTTTACTTCCTATACTTCTCAACTTTTCAACACACAGGATCCTCCATTTCCCACAATTCAACTTGATGGTGTATTTTCATTATACCTGTCTGATAATCACATAAATCTGTCGAGCCTTCCATCTTGTGTTACAGACTGTGTCATAGTTTTCCAAGTCCATTTTGCTTAACTATGATGATATTTGGTTTATTTTTGTGATAATTAAGGATGACTACCACTTTCTTGTAACTCGAGGTGTCTTAACAAAACTTTAACAAACTTTGAACAAAACTGAACATCAAAACTGCCTTAATTAAATCCAAAAGTAAAACTTTTCTCCTCTGTAACTAAACAATTAAATTACAAAACTAAAACCTAAAGCTAATCAAACCGTTTATCATTTCTTTCACCAGAAATGTGAGCAGTTTTCAGCTCATCTGAAGCTTCCATGTTGCGAAGGGTTCCGATCAGGTTAGACATTCTTTGAACCAAGTCTTTTGTTTTCCAAAGAATTCACATTTCTTGACTTCTATTCAAATCTAAGTCCTAATACTGAAACCTTTTGTATTGGACAATTGCTCTTGCACCCTTCTAACACATTGTTGTGTGTGTCAAGTCACAGAAGTACAACCTGGTGAAGAAATTTCAGCTATTTTTACTGTCACACTGGGCATTGATCGGCATTAGTGTGACAAAAGTCATCCCAGTAAGCTGTGTGTTATGATTATGTTGTGATCAACACATCATAGCAAACAGGAGGGAAGACTAAATTGGGCAAAAACTAGCAAACAAAAAATCCCATGACCTTAAGATGCAAAGAACATTGTCTTTCAGATGACAATATGGATGAGTAATAGATTGTGTATAAAAAAAACCCCTGCTCAGTCCCACTGTGTGTTATTACTTTTTTTTTTTTTTTTTTTTAAATTTATTACATATTATAAGGAACCTCTCAAGGACAAAACAGTAGGAGTATATTCTATCACTCAATTGTGAGAATGTGTGACTAGGTGTAGTCTGTATTTCCATCCATCCACTATCTATACACCGCTTACAAGTGTCACAGGGGGGCTGGAGCCTATCCCAGCTGACTTAGGGTGAAGGCAGGGGACACCCAGTCGCCAGTCTATCACAGAGCTACACTTAGAGACAGACAACCAAGCACACTCACATTCACACCTATGGACAATTTAGAATCACCAATTAACCTCAACATGTTTTTGGACTGTGTGG